GCGCGCCGCGGGGTCCCTGGGCCGGTGGAACTCGCGAGACCCCGCGTCGCCGTCGGAGCGGTCGGTGCTGTTCACCGGGCTGCGCAGCGGCCGCATCATGGAAAAGGACTCCAGAGAGGGGGCCGGCCGCGGGAAACGGTCCCTTGGGAAGCCCGTGGGGAGGCCCTGGGGGCGCCCCCGCTGCCCCGCCTGCGTTGGGACGACGACACCGTGCACCACCTCCTCCTGCGCAATCAGCATGGCGGGGTGGTGGGAAGACCGACGCGATTTGTGCGGTACCATGCCCCCAGAAGAAGCTCCCATTGAATGGGTGCAAAGAGTGCCCCCGCCCATCTCCTCCAGGGCGCGGAGCTGGCTCGCGGTGAGCAGCCCCTGCTTTCCCACACGCCGCGACTGCATTCCAAGCCTGTTATAATCGTTCGGTAACGCCTGATCATAGAGGTCGCTGTACTCCTGGTTCTTTTTGGTGTTCATCCACTCTACGGCGTTCATCCACTGAGGTCGTTGGGTGGTGGGACTGGACGGTACCGAGGAGGTATCCTGAAAATGCTTCCATCCGCCTCTTTGGACTGCTATTTCAGCCGTGTAGGGAGATCTCATCGAGTTGTGCCCATTGCCAGAGCTGCTGTAGGCCTGACGTGCGGATAACCCGGAGGGAGAAATGGACCGATGACCAGACTGACGATCTGCAGTACGTGGTGTGCCGCCCATACTCTTTCCATCCCTTGAGAACCCTTTCGAATGAAAGGGTGGGACGATCGCTCCAACAGGGGTGCACTGCTGGTCTAAATCAAATCGCTTTTCCGATAACCGTTCATATTTGTCGTGAGCACCCTTGTGGTTGGACTTTTTCTGTCCTTGGTTGTACAACTCTGAATCTGTGGGGAACTCAATGTTGCGAAGGACTTCAGAATACGAGTTTACAGGACTGCGTACCACGGCGTAGCCCTTCTCGTCGTCAGTCAAGACGGCTTTCGTAATGTTCGAGTCTGGTCGTTGGAAAGAGTGATCTGTAGATGGATGGCCGCCGTCGACGTTAACACATGGATATTGGGTGTCAATTTGGGGACTCGTCGGACTAACTGATGCTGGTTTGGAAATGCTTCTCGATAATGGAGGTCCGGTACCTTTTTTATCTGGTGTTTGGGTATGGTCGAATGAATTCAGCATTTGTGTTGTCGGGTCTGTATACGTTTCCCTACGATTCGGTTTCGAAGTAAGCCCCTCGGCGTAGGGACGCTCAAGGCTGGACACAGACACCTCTTCCTTCGCAAACAAAGGTTCGCTCTTGCTGTTGTTAACATCAGACTTAGGCTTTTGATTAGAAGTGTAAGGAATTACAATCTCATCGGTGAGCATCGGTGGTGTTGTTTCTTGTGTCGTTAGAAATTGCACCGCTTTAAGCTTCTCCTTTTCGGATGGAAGAGCAGTTTTTCCAAGTAAAGGTGCATCGGGAAGTAAAGCCGAGGTGCCAAAAATCAAGGCATCACTTTGAGCATCGTCAAACAAACTGTCGTACTCATGATGCTGCTCTTTATCTCGCATGTAAATGTTTGCATCATATTTTCCAAGAAAATCACCCTTTTCCATCGGCGAAAATAAAAGGGACTGTATAATAGTTTTTCTGTATGAATGTTCCTGCTGTTGCCAATAAGGGAATATTCACCCTTTGTATAAACCTTTACAATGTACTCAAGAAACGCTTTCACACTCAAGGATCAAAGGGGAAAAGGCGTAACGAGCAGAATTAGAAACTTTTAAGTTTCAGAAACTGAATATAATTTTTTATATATGAAGTAGGCTTCAAATTTAACACTGAGCTTAGTATTACTCCCTTCTCTAATTAGGAAAATACAAAAAAAATCTCTCTCGAAATATAGATGTTATATAAATAAAAGACGTTAAATACTTTTCGAGTGTTTGAAAAATAGTGAAAAAGAACACTTTGGCACCTTTGAAAATCCAAGTACACACTAAAGCAAGAAATGTCTGAGTTCTATATGAATATGTTTCCCTTCTAATAACGAATGATTTAATATATTTATATAGATGTATATACTAGACCAAGGTTTAAATTTAGTTCCTTAAAAGAAATACAGCAACTGGTTCTTGATTTAAATTACGTATTTAAAACAATAAAAAACGAAAGGGGATAGAGCAATAAAAAAAATGATAAAGCAAGCAAAAGCATAGAACAGTTCAACTAATATCATGTATACGTATTGGTGCTTTTCACTCACGTTTGTAAAGTGAACCTTTCACACACTCAAATTAAAAAAAGTGCGTCTATTCGAAAAAAAGCAAGGGAGTGTAAAGAAGAAAAAAATAGCGATATGAATAATACACGTAATTAAATGCATTGAAGAAGCATAACTCATATTTTTCCGTTTATTGGCTTACTTGCTATTCCTTTACACCGCTAAAAAAAAAGAATTATAGGCACAACAAAGGGAAGTGGAACTCTATAGCTCTCGTAGAAACTCTATAATTATTATGTCGCTTGCAATGCTGCCAAACTTAGCTCACGATTACCAGAGCCCCATCTATAGATAAAGTAGAGGTTAAATCGAGCAGCCCTTTGAATCGCCAGGGTACACTCTTCCGGTACGCAAAGGTTGTGCACAATGCGTTCGTAGAGCGGCACGCACAGGTGAAATAAGCGCAGGTAGTGTAGCGCACGCGCAGAGTTGTACAAAGCCTCACCTATACGACTTGGATCAAGAGAAATGAGGAGGTTTTGATATTGGGAAAGATAATATACACCCGCCGAGACACACTCCTCGCGTAGCGTCACACGCTTTTGGTGACTGCAAAGCAAGTAACCAAGACCCACCATGAAATTGATAAAAATATCCATAGGCCGCCGCTCCAAGGCCACCAAATAAAGGTTCAGCACGCGGGTGTAGGAACGTGTCTGGTAATAACGGTTTGCTAAGAGGACTAGATGGGCTACATCGCAACGGTTCTCGAGAAAAGCACGGTAGAAAATTGAAGAGCGATCCTCGCAACGATTTAACACGCCATGCATTAGCTCCACCACACTGTTATACTCCTCAGGAAGGCTTTCCTCTTGAAGTAGGCGAAAACCGACTCGAAACGCATCCTCACTTTCCCCGGCGGCCAAAGCCGCTCGCAGGACTGCTAGTCTAAGTGGACGTTCCAAAGGATTACCCATCTGTAAAAAAATCCTTTTTTTAGAAAAGCGAATAAGCGCGACGGAGGCGAACTCTTTGGCCTCGGAAAACTTCCCAAGGGCGCTATAGCTCTCCACGATGGATACCGCGAGCGCGAGAAACTCCGCACGGCCCAGCGCTGCGATGGCTTCCCGAGCTGTTACGCGATCCACGACAGCGGCGCCGCCCTCCAAACGGTTCGGATTCTGCGAAAGATCCACTTGATCATCCGCACGCAACGCGCCCGGAAAGGAGTTCGTCGAGAGCTCATTAGACGACACCTTTAAAAACAGCTGCGCCATCGCCGGATCACTAAATTGTTTACTCACCTCCTCTAAACTAGGCAACTCATAGGATGACGGGTTCATCTCATCAACGACGTCCTCAGCAGCCCACTCAGGTTTAAGGACATCCCTAGCCTCCTCGCCCTTCTTTGCTCTTACCAACTCCTCGAACCCCTCTAGCTCAGATAGATCCCGATCCTTCTCCCCCACTGTAGTGAAGTTCCCCATGTTGGGCACCTCGGCCGGATACCGCGGTGGCCTCTGCTTCACATCCAGTTTATGGGCAATATCCGAACTCTCCAGCTCTGATGCAGTTTCCTCATCCTTTATATCAGCCGTGGGATCCTCTGGTTGGTCTGTGGGGGATCCCACCCCCCCGCTGTCCTCCGGTGTCTCCCAAAAGCTCCGTGGGTTGCGCTTGGTCACCTCCTCTACGCGCCGCCGTTTTCGTTTGGCCTCCGTCTCTCGCCCTACCCCACCCCTCCCCTCCTCCGGTGTCTCCTTCACCCTTTCTCGCAACTCTTTCCTTCCCCCCTCCTGGCGTCGTTTGCGATTAAAGCGGAAAATGGTGGAGCTGTCTTTGAGCCTCGTCTCCTCCTCCTCACGGCTCCACCCGGCCGCGAGAGAGGCCGCCGCGGAGGCCCCGTAGACCGTCGTCGTCAACGCCGCGCGGTCCCGCCGGGCGAGCTGCTGTCGGGCGACAGACGTCCCCGCCCGAATCGACGCCGCGAGGGAGGTGGAAAGTCGATGCTCCCCCTCCGAAGTTCCAGGGCCTTGGATCATCCCCAGGACGGACGCGGATGGAAGGATTGCAGAGGTCGCGCGGGAGAGCGTCGGCAAAAGAAAGGGCGCAGAAGACCGTCGTGAGGAGCCCGGCGCCACCGACATCGCATCACCGTCCTCGGCGCTGGAGAGGATTACCTCAAACATCGAAACACCCAGCGTGACCACCTCCATGTACCGGCAAGACTTGAAAAAGATGCTCGCTAGGAGGGCCCCTAGTTGAATACGACACAAAGCCGCATCAGTCTCCTTCGGTGTAAGCATACGTTCCGCCTCATCTAAGTCTTTTTGCTCATAAAAATACAACCTTCCTAAGAGTAAGCGAGCCTGCAAATTGTCCGGCTCAAACTGCAACGCCATTTTTGCTTCTTGCTCGGCGTCGTTGATACGTCTAATCGAGAAACTGCACTGTGCCTGGCCATAGTGCGCGGCTGCGAGAACAGTTTTAACCTCCTGCATCTCTGTATTCACCTCTTTCAAGCGCTTGTATAAGGACTGAGATCGCCCTGTGCAGATCTCGTCACCCCCACAGCTTTCTCCTTCTTCTTGGGACATCTTAATCTCCTGCTCCAGTTGATGCACATTCGTCATCAAGCGCCGATGATTATCGTTGTAGAAGCGCACACAATTCGAAAATATCATTCGTGCTTCGGTGTGCATTCCAGTCTTTTGAAGAGTCATCCCCATATCTAAAAGCACATCCGCGTACGTGTCCATAGGGCATGTATCGATCAGATAATGAACAACATCCTTGCAAGGCTGTTTCATATCTTCAAGAAAAGCATAAGCCGTCCCTAAGCGTACAAGAAGATCAGGCGGTAACTCCAATATCGGTACATGTAAACATGCAGCCGTGAAATTCATCACTTGCACGGCTTCCGTGAATTTTCCACTCTCGTTGAGAAGCTCTGTATGCACATTTATCAATATCAAAAAGTTTCGCTTCGCGTCCGGCGTGCTGAGATCGATGCGATCTCCGTAAAGACTTTGTATATGCTCCGCCGCCCCTGACTCTGGTGTGCTCGACGGCGCTGAAAGAGTGGGCGCATTCCTAGGCGTATCCTCCGTCATGTTGGTGAAGTCAAACTGATCCGGGTCCTCCACCTCAGGATCGGCCACTTCATGCATCGTGGCTAGCTTTGATGCGAGGCTACTTGGGGTGGCCAATGTGGTGGCATCCTCCCTCTCCCCTGTCCCCACCTGGTCACTGTCCTCAGGAAGATTAAAAAAACGCACCCGCTTGGACACACGCTTACGTTTGGTCTCTTTTTTGACTTCCGAACTCTCATCCTTGGGATCCACCTTCTCCTCTCGTCCGACACGTGCGTCCGTCGCCAACCCCAGTGGAAGGACATCTCCCACCGGCATATCGATGCAAAATGTATTTTTCAGGCTGCTCGTGATCAACCCCTCCAGTGAAGACCACTTTCCGAGCTGGAAGTACAACGACGAGAGCAACGCGAAGACGTCAAAATCCCTACATCGGCTGCTATTCCACAAGGGGACGAGGACGTTCGTCGCGCGGCGGATCTCCCCCAGGCCGATGAGCAAATCTGCGAGCTGGAGTTGGAGGGTGCGGTAGCGCACCGGGCACTTTTCCATTGCGGACAGGCGCTGCAAACAGACCACGGACTTGTAGTACAACTGCTCAGAAAGGAATTCATGCAGGAGCTCCTCCCAGAGGACCACATCATGAGCAAGGAAGGCCTGCAAAAGGCGGAAATCACTGGCACGGTCGTACTGCCCTTTGGAGTCGGAAATAACAGCTAAAAGTGCGAAAAGATGGGCCGTCGGGCGGATCCGAAGAGCCAACGTTGCCTCCCGCTCGGCCAACGCGTTGTCACCCTTCAAAAAAGCATTCTGGGCGTTCGTGATGTGTTCCTCGAATGAGCGGTACAGAGCAAAAGTCCCGAACGCCTTGCTTCCCACTGCCCGTTGACGTTTAGTACTGCTGGGGTCCCTCTCATCTGCATTGCAGGACATGTATCGGGCGTTTAAACCGAATATGTGGTGTATTCCTTTAGTTCCAGTCCACACATAATCAACACAAGGCCACAAATAGGAAAAGGTCGTAATAGAAATGTAAAAGATTGTTAAAAGGTTGCTTTGAAAGATCGAACATTTCATTACATTATAAACAAAGCATGAAGAAATATGGTTTAATTACTTGAAACCCCCGCTTTCGCGTTCTCAGCTTATTAAGAGGGGGAAAAAAATTGGACATAAAAATTAGACCAATAGGATCGATCGGAAGATAGCATCTACTAAATCTATCATATTAAAACTTCCGTACTAGTAAAAAGGTAAGTTCATTACAAATTATCGTTCCCTTTTTACTAAACCGATCAAAACGCACACAATTCCTTTAAAAAATCGGAAGCCAAATACATATTTGGTTAATTACACGCCTGGATAAAAAATAACTACGACAATTACTAAACTTAAAGCCCAGATAAAATAAAAAAGACTCGCTACAAAACTTCGTGATTTCCTTTTCAGTCTTAAATAAACTCCTTGCCAAGGTACAAAAACTCTCGAATATGAGCACCTATACCCAAAGAAGTCTGAATAATTAGAAAAAAACGTAGTCTCAATCACAAAATTGAGTGTTTCCGAACGTAATCAGCCTTAGATGCTTGACTGAACTGTCATTTGGCTGTCCTCTAGAATACCTCATTTACTTACCTTCACAAAAAAATGAAAGAGAATCACAGAAATAATAAATGCCGCACAACTAAAAATGAGCTGCGTTGGTGAAATTGTAAAGCCTGACGGCTCTAGGTCATTGATGTTATCCGGGGGAGAAGCGACATTGCTTATTTTTCGTGAGGATACGCGCATGATGCAAAAACAAACGAGACTTTATAAAAGGTTATTTTTTTTATTAAAATTTCTTTTACTATGTGATTATGGCACAATCAGCTTTACCTATTCATGCATCCATCAAGGAGAATCAATTATAACAATATGTAAAGAGAAAGACAGGGAAAGATGTAGATAAGGTCATAACTCATTTCAGCTTTTGATACCTCAACAAAATTTGCTATAAGTGGGAACAAAATTAAACGAAAAAGCAAGATCTGTTTTCCCCTCCACAATAACCCATCCAAACATCATGAAATATACCAAATAGTACACAGTATAGAAAAGTAATACAGTATGAAATTGAAAAGTAAATACCTATATTGATCCAATTATACTACTACTGTACGCTAGAGTCAAACGTAGACCATCGCTATCGATGCATTGTGTGGACACTTAAAGCAGGACTCATCTGCAAAAACTCCTGTCCTATACCACTCTAATTTACGAGCATCTGTTGGTAATAATTATGGTATCCATGATCAGAAACCTGCTGTTAAACACATCAAAACATTATTCCCGACAAAAAGCTATTGAGTCGGAATAAGATTGTAATTCAGATCAGATGAAAAAAAAGAATAATGAAGTAAATTGACAAAAAAAGAGTTTTGCAATGCAGAAAGATATGCACACTCAACTCGTAGAATAACTAACCAAAGTATTACCTCGATAAATAGCATATAAGCAGAATATTTATGTGGTGATAAATGAATAAACTAATCAACGATCATATTTATCGGGGAGCCTTAACCACTTCATTTGCTGTTCAGGGGTATGGATATGCGTTTTACGAAACCGGGCAATAGGGCATTCTTCTTGTACACGACGACCTAACTCCTCAATTTGCAGCTGACTAGCATTGGGAGCGTCAACCATAACCCGTACACCCCCCTCCGAGGTTTTCTCAAAACGAATATCATGGAGATCGATTCCATTTCGGCGGGCTATATCAAGTGCATGAGACCTGCTACACCATTCAAGGGCTTTGTCAATAAAATCTCCAAACGGCCCCCCTCCGAAGCCGCCGAGCCCGAAGTTAAAGAGACCAGGTTTGTTGTCGCCTGATTTTGTAAAGTTATCAAAAAAGCCTTTCCCGGATCCAGGTCCTTTTCCAGAGAACATCTTCGAAAAGCCGGACGAAAAAGACCCGAAAAAGCATTTACAAACTGTCCGACAAAGCATTTTGTTCACTTAAATTTTAGGAATATACTTTTTGACTATACATTTAACCTTCAACTTAGGTTGCAAAGACATACAAAAGAAAAGAAAAATGAAAATATGGAATTTTATGCTGCTGTTGTTTTATCCCAATGTATATCATTCATTGATAGAAATGAGTTCTAAATTCTGCAGTCTGATTTGGATCACGAATTTATATATATAGAGATATCTGCTGAATATTAGTATTAAAAAAAAAACATAATCAATATATATAGAGAGAAATTTTTTGCTTCTGATTTCTGATAACATCCAATAAATACTTAAATTGTATAAATATTTTCTTTTTACTTTTGATACACATTATTTCTTCTCATAACTAGAATTTCAATCCCCATATGTGTATATATATAGAAATATTTGACTGTTATAGATGTGCGAAAGTGTTAAATAAATTAATAAGCCCATTTGTGGAATGATCGTGGTTGTTAATTTTCTCGTTAGGCTTTAGCTGAGGTAAAATCGACTTTGCCAGGGCCTTCCCAAGTTCCACGCCCCATTGATCATAGCTGTTGATCCCCCATATAACACCCTGGACAAGAACCTTGTGCTCATACATCGCGATAATCGCTCCTAACGCCCGAGGAGAGAGTTTATCCACCAAAATACTGTTACTGGGTCTGTTTCCAGTGAACATTTTGTGAGGAATCAGGGTTTTCATATTTGCCTTCGTCATTCCAGACTTTTGCAACTCCTTTTCGACTTCCTTGGAATTTTTACCAACCATCAAAGCCTCTGTTTGTGCGAAGAAGTTGCTCATTAATATACGGTGATGGTCACCAATAGGATTATGGGTGTTAATTGCACCAATGAAATCGCACGGTATAATCTTGGTACCCTGATAAATAAGTTGATAAAACGCGTGTTGTCCATTGGTACCGGCTTCCCCAAATACAATGGGTCCTGTTTGGTGGGTTACAGAACCACCGTTTTTCACGATACTCTTACCGTTACTTTCCATATCAAGCTGCTGAAGGTACGCCGGGAGTCGCCAAAGGTACTGATCGTAAGGAAGCACAGCGTGTGTTTCGCTACCGAAAAAGTTGTTGCACCAAACCCCAACCAGTGCAAGAAGGGTGGGAAGGTTTTGTTTGGTGGGTGCATTGAGGAAGTGGCAGTCCATCATGTGGGCTCCGGTTAGAAACTCCACAAAATTTGCATACCCAATGAAAATCATAACTGAAAGACCAATCGCACTCCATATAGAGTAGCGGCCTCCAACCCAATCCCAGAACTCGAACATGTTTTCAGGATCGATGCCGAACTTCCTCACTTCTTCGGTGTTTGTTGATAGGGCAACAAAGTGCTTTGCAACCGCGCCGTCTTCCTTGATCCCTTTCGATTTTAAATGCGATAACAAAGCCTGGCGAGCAGACAAGGCATTTGTCAAAGTTTCCTGAGTTGTAAATGTCTTGCTGGCCACGATGAAGAGGGTTTGCTCAAGATCCACATGACGAATGACCTCGGAAATGTCTGTACCGTCAACGTTCGAAACAAAAAAGCTTCGAATGTCTTTATGACAATAGGGGCGTAGTGCTTCAGTAACCATTGTAGGGCCCAGACCACTTCCTCCAATACCAATGTTAACAATGTTAAGGATCGGCTTTCCACTCTGTCCCTTCCACTCACCACTTCTAATCCGGTCTGAAAACTTCTTCATATGATCAAGAACATGATTCACATCCGGCATAACATCTTTTCCATCAACATAGATCGCGTGGTTGCTCCTGTTACGTAAGGCAATGTGCAGAACAGCTCGATTCTCCGTTGTGTTTACCTTTTTGCCAGAAAAAAGAGACTTGACAAACTCACTTACGCCCCTCTCTTCGGCAAGTAAGCACAGTGCGTCTTTGATTTCATCATTGATAATATTTTTCGAGTAGTCAAGAAACAAAAAGTTGTCACCCAAATCAACCTTGACAGAATTCCTGTTGAAGCGGTCAGCGTCAGCCTCAAAAAACTTCAGCATATGTGTATTGCCATATTTTTCATATAAGCCTTTCAGGGCTTTCCAAGAGGCACACTTAGTAAGACTTTCATCGTAATTTCCAATAGATGACAGCTTACGGGCCACTTCATGAGGAGAATTAAAAGTCGCGACAGCCAAACTCGGATTATTATTTCCAAGAGCAGGACTCCCTTTAACATGCTCATCAAGCTTCTTTAAAAAATCAACATCGGACATTTTTAATATATGTATAGAGAGAGAGAGATATAATAAAGATAATTGCTTAAAGACTTAAATAAAAAGGAATCTAAGTAAGAAAGTGAAGTCTGTTTCTAGAAACTTGTCAGCAAATAATTTATCAACATTTTTCCATCAAGCATCTGTTCCATAAAGTTTCTACAAGAAGATGAAAGAACATATTAGCCCCTCAACTATGAATTATATTCAAATCAACATCGTGAAATATGGATATTTGTAGCAAATCAATTTGGTAACGGAACTATCGAATCCCAAGTGCGCGGTTAATTTTTTCAAGAACAAGATCCTTTTCAGGATCGTATTTTTGGTCTTTGCTTGGAATCTCTACAATGCTAGGAATAACTGCAGTGTGCTCTTTAATCAGGTGCCGAATATCGTTAGCGATATTCTGTGTAATAATTATTATACCAATATCTCCCCGTGTACACATCGAATTAAAAGCTGACTCAATGTCCGATAGAGGAGTTGACGGACATACTACTAAATAATTCGGCTTCAAATCGCTTTCGCTAGTTCTATAGCTTCCCTGTGCAATTGCTAGGCGGTTATCACCAACTCCAGCAAGAATAAAACCAGTGACAGTGTCCTCATCGCCAATTATCCCAATAATTCGCCTCTCGCCAGTTTGGTATCGCATTGGATGAGTCATAATAAAAGATTATTGTGTGCAATATATGTATTCAAAAAAAACTAAATAGATGGAAAATAAAAATCGAACAATTAAGGATGTAAATTGTGAACCAAGCTAGTCTTTTTTAAAAAGACAATGTTCTGTTTTAAAAAGTTGACTCTTCACTATTTACTACAATTACCACTCACAATACTTTACTTCTGATCTATCTGAGATAAAGGAGTTAATTTTTATGAGTTCTTGAGAAAATGGTAAGACAACTCCCTTTTCTATAAAATATTGCCGTACAAGAGCCTCAGAAACACAATAATCAGTCTGTTCTAAACCACTAAAGGAGTCCGGTTCTTCATTACTTTTCAGGTCGTTATTTATGTGATCATCCGTTTCAGTATCACCAATGCTAAACTTTAAAATGGTTCTTCCCATCGGATATTCACGTTTTCTTTGAGAAACAAGTCTAAAGGAGGGGAAAAAGATCATTAATAATATGCCTTTTCATATTTATTAATACACTTTAAACTCACAACCGCAAATTTATCACTTTTTATTATCAATATAAAGCAGCGTTACTTATACAATATTGATTTTCCATTACTTGAATATTATTATTTAATGTCAAATAATAAATATTGTAAATACTTTATCCCCGAATTGGAAAACGCCCCGGTCCAATTGAAACAATGATCATGAAATATATATATATACCCCTAAAACTGTGGCAAACACAAATGTACTATACAGATAGCCGAAGGTCGGCGCTGAAAAAAAAACTAAACCTAGTAGCATCAAGTGGATTCATTAAGAGTATAACATCCAACTAAGATACAAAAGGTTTTTTAGAATTGCACATTACTACTGAAGCTGCGTTCAAACCAAGATTTGAAATCACGGGGCGCCGCGCCATTGGCAATAGGATTAATATGAAATAGATAATTCCACCATATAATTTAATCTCTTGGTGATTAAAATATATAAAGACGGATTTTCCTATTGAAAATCAAAAATCCATGATCAAGAACATGGGGAAGTCCCCCTACCCAAACAACTGATTAAAAGACAGGCACCGATAAAACACGGGTTAAAATACAACGGCCAAATGGGGTTGCACCCCCATTGTTCCTTATGAAACTCAAAGTTCTATGCATCGCTCAATTTCATTCAACACTTATTACCATTTAAAAATTATGACCCATAGCAAAAGAGAGCCCACCCTTCCCTTGAGCCATGGTAAATCCATCTGGCTTCCCCCCCCCCAAATTCCCCCCGACAAAAACACGCCTGGCCGCACA